GAGTGCTGGGATTACAGGCGTAATCCCTGGCCCCCAAGGAGTATATTTTGAAGTTCCTCCATTTTTAATGCCCTCAATGGGACAAACTCCCACCCCCAGCCCAGTAAAGATTGGACCCAGGGCCTTTGCACTGAGCTAAATCCCCAGTGCCCCCCCAGCACCTTTTGTTGCTGAGACATGTGTGCCAAGCTGCTGAATTGCCCTGGCTTGAATTTGCAGTCTTCCTGCCTCAGCCTCCTAGAGTTCTGGGATTAAAGGCCTGTCCGACTAGGTCCAGCACAAATTTTTTTTCTGAGGGACAGTTCAGTGTTGAAAATCTGCCAGGGGTCATTTGGCACCGAGGCAGGGAGCTAGAGCACTGAGGAGGGGCAGGGCTCTGCCAGACTGGCAAGCCTTGTGGTGTGAGGTCAGGCTCCCTCCTCCACTACGATGTGGACCTCATCATGGGGAGGGGCCTTGGCAGGGCTCCAGTGATCGCTTGGTCCCATGACAGGGAACGTTCTGGAAACGCCTGTAACATTTGCTCTGAGAGCTTCTTCCTGTTTTGCATAGGGCCTTTTTGCCTTCGACATCCTGAAATCACAGAGCCGCTGTCGGTGTGGCAGCACACCACCAGCTTAGAAAACAGGAAAGGCTGTGAGTGGGGGACTTGGAGGAGCTGGCATTTGCGTTACAAGAGCACGAGGACTTGGTGTTAGGTGCTTCGTAGCTGTGGGCGCTCACGGGGTACTTCAGGCAGCCTGAGCGAGGCCGTCCCTGCGTCCGTCCGTCCGTCTGAGGGAGCAGGGAGTAGAGTCGCGTCGTCACGGTGAAGTCAGGAGGGCTCACTTCTGAGTCATCGAACTTTCCTCTCGGGGCTGTGTGTGTGACTGCACCCTCCATGGCATGGGAGCGAACCCGGACGGGGGCTGCTCCCGTTTTGGGGAGCCTCTTAGCAGCTGACAGACTCTGCCAATGCAGCATGGTCAGGAGAGCAAGCCGGTGGTCAGAGCCTGGGTCAGAATGAAACGAAGGGCCTGCTCCCCACACTGCAACATGAACGATCTCTGAAATTCCCTGTGAAGCTCCCGAGCCACTGCCTGTTTCACAACTGTTGCTGGGAGGCTTCTGTTGAGGATTTTGTCATGTCTGTCCAAGCCGGGGCAAAGTTTAGCTGGTGGAGACTTTTACTTTTTTTGTTTTTGTTTTGTTTCTTTTCCAGTACTGGGAATCGAACTCACGACCTTGCGCTTGCCAGGCAGGCGCTATGCTGCTGAGCTAAATCCCCAGCCCCCTAGCTGGTGGGGACTTGGAAATGGCACAAGGAGCATTTCTGACCAGTGCCAGCTGCTGCGTGCCTTGTGAAGCTTTATTCTGTCTGTGCCTCACTGTGTTCTTGCCTATAAAGTAGGGAAAGTAGTAATATCTACCGCATACTGGTAGGTGTTGTAAAGTTTAGGTAATGGCCATAAAAGGGCTTAATACAGTTGCTAATACATGATAAGCTCTGAATATATGTTATTTAAGATTGATAGTAATATTAATAGTAACTCTCTTACCTGTGGATACCTTCAGAGGTGTTTTGAAGATTTCCTAAAACTGTAGATAGTACCAAACCGCATATATACTATGGGATGTATGCACATACCTGTGATAAAGCTTGATTTTTTAAATTGGATGCAGCAAGAGATTATCAACAATAACTGATAATAAAAATAGAATAATAACTATACTGTCATAAAATTTATCTAAAGCTTGTGAATTGCATATTTCTAGAGTTTCTCATGTAGTATTTTCAGACCTTAGCAGCAGCACCCAAACTGTGGGAAGTGAACCTGAACGAGGGGACTTTTGCAGTTCTTAGGTTGATTTAGCTCTTGCTTTATAGATTTGCTCCTTCTTTGTTGAAAATGCAAGGTTACCACTTTAAATGGTAAAGAAATTCTACCTAGGACTGTAACAAAACTTGCTCTTACTTTCCAAATGCACACATATGTTACTGTGTTGCAATTATTTCATGAAACTATTTTCAACTATCATTTGTGCAACAGTATCGCCTAAATTTTTGTTTATAATTATCCTTATTATTTTTGAAGTTCTCGGGTTGGAACCTAGAGCCTTGGGCATGCTAGGCAAGTGTTCTACTGCTGAGCTACATTCCCACTCCCTAATTATATCTTTTATTACAGCTGTCTTATGTCCTTATAAATAATCCCTTAGCATTCTCCGTTCCAAGTTTCACTGTCACAGTCTTGAGGAACACGTTTACAGGGTATAGCTCTTTGCCTGAGTTGAGTTACTGCCTCAGAATGAATTCCTGAAGAGGAATTTCTGGGCCACTTATGGTCAGTCATCTTTATAGCACTGATTTTTTTTTTTAAGTACTGGTTTATGCTGTCACATTGCTTTCCAAGAAGTTTGGAATCATTCACAGGCTCTAAATTGGAAATTCCTAGCTTTGAAAGAATGCGGATTCTGAGGGAAAACTGAATTTATCTGGTGCCCCATGTGGACACTTTGCGGCTGTGTGTGTGTGTGTGTGTGTGTGTGTGTGTGTGTGAGGGAGAGATTGATTGATTAATTGAGGTTATTTGGGAAGTTGTTCCTGAGTGGAGGCACTGTGAGGTCTCTAAACATGAGACTTTCTCTCTGTAAATGACTGGCTCTGGGCAGTACCTGCAGAGGTCACTCAGTGTCCAAGAAAGGAGCCTACATAGAATTCTTTCAACACCCCATATATTTTATAAGAGCTGATTTATACAAAATAAGCATTCTTTGTCTCTCTCTGTCTCTCTGTCTCTCTCTCTCTGTCTCTTTGATTCTGTCTGTCTCAGTCTCTGTCTGTCTGTCTGTCTCTCTCTGTGGAGCCAAACTTGTACAGTGGGCCTCTGGCTTTAAAAGCTGGTGTTGGTCTACACTTCTCTGTGCTGCTTGCGGGCAACACTGCCTGCAGCCATCTGTAGAAACCACGTTAGGTTCTGATGGGCCAGCCTGGCACCTGATCAGCTGATCCACACGGGTGGACTCTCATCTGACAGCTGTTACGGGGTTCAGAAACAGAACCCAAATGAGGAAAGACTTTTAAATTATATTGAGTAGAAATAAGTTGATCCAATAGCCTAAAATCTGCAAATATGAAGCATCAGTTTTGACCCAACAATTGCTTTTTTTTGTAGATTAATAGAAGCCAATGAATTGCATAAATGATAGGTTGATATCAGAGCCAGTGATTTCAAGGACCAAATGCTTATAGATTGAGCAGAGGGGACTCGATTCAACTTGCAACAGCCACTCCATTCACCTTACAGCCATGTTATGCGTGTCTGCTGAATTTGCAGTTCACTTTGACTCACAACTTAACAGAACACTCTGTTTCACTGAGTCAGGTGGGAGCGGCTGTTTAGCATATTTTTCCAGAGGCCTAGGGCCTGATGTCATCATCTTCGTCCTCCTCCTCCTCCTCCTCCTCCTCCTCCTCCTCCTCCTCC